GTTTTAGCTACTTCACATTTTCAAATAATTAACACCACAGAAAGAATGTGAAAGTTGGAAAAAATCTTTTGGAATAAATAATTATATGAAGAATAATTCGGTATTATTAAATAAGTTCACATTCTCCTCTTCCTAGAGCAGTATTATTTTAACTATAACAGTGCTGGATTTATTTATAATATAAACTATTATTAATAACTGCTGAATTATAATATTTTTAAAGATGATAATTAGTAATATTGACAGACAGAACTGTACAATTCAAAAGCTGTTAATATATCATTAATACTGAGATAAAACAGTAATACTTTCTATGACCTCAGTGCTGCTAATCTGCTTTGCATTTCTTGTATATCTTCTTCGCTTTCTTCAGTTGGAGGTGCTGCAGGTTCTGCTGCAGCTTCAGAAACAGGAGGTTCTGGAGCTTCTCCTAGTTTACCTTCAGTTACTTCCCATAAGACTTTATCTACTTCTTTTTGTGCTTCATCTTCCATTTCTTCAGAATCTTCTAAAACATCCATGGATTCATCTATCATTTCTTCAATAATTCCTGCTTTCATCATTTCTTTTGACATTTCTCTCATTGTGTTAGCCACTTCAGGAATCCTTACTAATGACTGCATTGCCTGCATAACTTCTGTAGACTTTGCCAGAGAACCAGCAACTCGAAGAGTAGCTGTAACATTAAAATTTTTATATTTAACATGGTCATGAAGCACAGCTGGACAAAGTTCTCACCAAAATAGCTCCAAGCCCTTACTTAAAGTGCTTTAGCCCTTGATGCCTCAATTACATTTTCAGATCCAAGGAATTTGAAATGCTAATTACTTTAAGAGCAATTAGATTCAAATCCGTAAGCACCTTGAATGAGCTTGAAGCCATTTAAGTTACAAACTATAAACTAATTTCTTAAACTGATTTGTTTACCAAGTACATGCATATGAAAGAGTTTGAATTACAATAGTTCCAAGCCTTGAATAGGGAACTAAAGCTTTGCCCACTTTTGTAATATAAGCTCCAAAATAAATAAATACCAACCTAATTGGTTTTTCATTTGTAGATTAATTGAATTAAGGTGTGCCTTAGTGGTATGAATTTTATTGACAGATTTTCTAGCTCTCAATATCTCTTTAGCTAAAATAAGGCAGGTGTCTTTATCATTTTTCTTTGCAGCTTCCTTCAGAGATCTTCTGACCTTTTCTTCTTCCCGTTGTATAGCTAAAAACCTATGATGAACTTATGTTTTGGAATAATTTCCTTATTACCTCTAATTTGACGATCAAGTTGATATCCTTCTTTTCGGATCTTGTGTGACCATTCGTTTACCTAAAACGTAAAATTATATTTCTAAATGAGAGTATATATTTGAGTTTAATACCATCTCTTTTGGATTCCTTTCGTTAGATTTACCAAACAACCCCATATCAGGAAATATCTAAACTTCTTGAAGAATCTATTTCTTTTTTTATTACAAAAATCTTGATTGTTTTGTAAAATAAAATCTATTTGTGTTTATGGATTAATTTTGCCGCTGACATAATTATAATCATTCACAAATAATAAATAATTATTTATCATTTATTAGTCATTAGTCAGGATAGCACTAAGTAATAAACACAATCAAACATCTAACAAATTGTAAATAAACATAAACGCAAACCTTCTCTTTTTAACATTGTAATTAAATTAATAAATGGATGTATAATGATTAAATGTTACTTTTTGAAGGCATTTGATTTATTATCACTACTGACTAATAAAAATTCTAATTTCTATGTAGCAAATTAATTCCGTCCCTGTATAGTGTTATGTCATTTTAGTCAGGTGTCATTCTTGTATGGACGTGCGTTATTGTTAACTAGGTTGTGAGTTCGTTGCATAAAATACATTACCGGCATATATAATTTTAAGATTGTTTGTAATTAGATTAAAAAATGCAACATACACTTTCAAAATTCTTTGCAACGAACTTGCGAGTAAGTATCTTTGAAAATTTTTAGTTTATAAATAAGAATTATTGGTTTACGTAATATATAACCTACAAATGTTTCAAGTTTATGTTAACAGAATTAGAGGTCAAAATTTAAGATATTTGTTATATCCATTACGTTGTTCTCCTTTTAGCCTTCAAATGTAAATGGATGTCGAACACGAATTTTTGATGTTCTACAACAAAGATGTTACTCGGCTACCCAAGACGCTGATATCGTTGTCATTGGGTCAGGTCCAGGGGGATATGTGGCCGCAATTAAGGCTGCCCAGATGGGCATGAAGGTAATTACATGCAATGTGCAAGTATAAAGATAGTTTATGTTGTTTTTGCAGACTGTATGTGTGGAGAAAGATCCGACTTTTGGTGGAACTTGTTTAAATGTAGGATGTATTCCTTCTAAAGCACTTTTAAATAATTCCCATTATTATCACATGGCTCATTCTGATGATTTTAAATCACGGGGCATTATTGGCAAGTTATAAAAACTTATATCTAACATGTTGTGTATTACTTTTTATAAATTCTAGTTAGTGATGTTAAAATGGATGTTGGTAAATTTATGGAAGCAAAAGCTAATGCAGTAAAAGCTTTAACAGGTGGGATTGCTATGTTATTTACAAAGAATAAAGTAAAACCAATAAAAGGCCATGGTAAAATAACAGGAAAAAATCAGGTGACTGTTCTAAAAGAAGGAGGTGGTCAAGAAGTAGTTAACACCAAAAATATTCTCATTGCAACTGGATCAGAAGTTACTCCATTTCCAGGCATACAAGTAAGGGGTGTTAATATTAAATTATAGATTAATACAGTATTCTCATTTGCTGTAGATTGATGAAGAAACTATTGTGTCATCTACAGGAGCTCTTTCATTAAAACAAGTCCCTAAAAGAATGGTAGTTATTGGAGCAGGAGTTATTGGTTTAGAATTGGTATGTGTTAGTTTAATTTATGTAAAATTAGCATACTAAATATGTTTTCTGATAGTACAGAAACTTTGTACTAATTTAAAATAAAACAATACGAAATGATGAATGAAATGAAATTTGAATTAATACATGTCCATCTTATCAAACATTGAAGAGTAATTAAACAATGATCATTTTGTTGTTAGGGCTCTGTGTGGTCTCGATTGGGCTCTCAAGTAACAGCTGTAGAATTTATTGGAAGCATTGGAGGTGTTGGAATAGATGGTGAAGTATCAAAGACATTTCAAAAAGTGTTGGCAAAACAGGGTTTACAATTCAAATTGAATACCAAAGTTACTGGCGCTGAAAAAAGTGGCGGAGTTATTAAAGTAAATGTAGAAGATGCAAAAAGTCCTGACAAGAAAGAAGTGGTAGGTCTCTTCCTTATATGAGTTATATGATATTTCATTCACTTTTTACTAATTTTAGTTGGAATGTGAAGTTTTGTTGGTTTCAATTGGAAGAAGGCCTTACACTCAGAATTTAGGATTGGAGGAAATGGGCATTGAAAGGGACAACAGAGGCAGGATACCTGTTAATTCACATTTTCAAACAGTTGTACCTGGCATTTATGCCATTGGGGACTGTATACATGGGCCAATGTTGGCACACAAAGCAGAAGATGAAGGTAACAAAATAATCCCGTATATTTCTTAAGAACTTTAGAAAATCAAAAAGTACTTAAGATATTTTCAAATTTGCTTACATGATCTTAGTCTTGAAATAGTCTCTTAATCCTCACCCCTCCCGCTGATAAAATGTAATATAACTGATTGATTCTATGTGAGCATTTAATTACCTCCAAGTTAATGAAATAATAAACTAAAATGGAATTATTTGCCAGGTATAATATGTGTGGAAGGAATTAATGGAGGTCATGTACACATCGATTACAACTGTGTGCCGTCAGTCATTTATACTCATCCGGAAGTGGGCTGGGTGGGCAAGTCGGAAGAAGATTTGAAAAAAGAAGGAGTTGCCTATAAAGTTGGTAAATTCCCGTTCTTGGCAAATTCCCGTGCGAAAACAAACAACGATAGTGAAGGATTTTGCAAAGTCCTTTCAGACAAAACGACAGATCGCATCCTTGGTACTCATATAATCGGCCCTTCGGCCGGAGAACTCATTAACGAGGCTGTTTTGGCACAAGAATATGGAGCATCAGCAGAAGATGTTGCCCGTGTATGCCACGCTCATCCCACATGTGCAGAAGCGTTGAGAGAAGCGAACATGATGGCTTATCTCGGAAAAACAATTAATTTCTAAGTTGTTATCTCATTAATTTGTTATTTTTAAAATNTTATTTTCTTAGGATTACGAGTAAAAACAGTGAAGAAAATTTAATTTCAAGTTTACCCTACTTTACTATTTCTTTCACTTTATCTTTTGTCGACTGTAATATTACGAAAATTCTGATCCGCCAAATAGCTGATCATCATCATCATAAGCTCGTCAGTCCTAAGACTGGTTGGACACGCATTTTCACTTTTTCTTATCCTGCCCTAATCTTCGCATTTCCCTAAAGAGCAACCCATACCCTTAACTATTTGCGAACAGTAATCTAATGTAGGTCTTGACTTTTATAGAGTTCTCTGTTCTCTTACTCTTTCTAATACCTCTTCATTTCTAACCTTCTCTATCCACGGTATCCTCATCATTCGCCTGTAACACCACATTTCGAACTGTTCTAACCTTTCTTTTCCGCCGCGCCAATCTTCCATGTTTCGCACCCGTACAGCGCCGCGCTCCAAACATATACCTTTAACAACTTTTTTCGAATTTCTAAATTAACCGTTCCCGAGCATAGAAATGACTTGCTTTATATCCCTACTACTTCTTTCGTCCTGACTTATCTGACTTCCTAGATACCTACAATCGGCCACTTCGTCTAATTTTTCGTCTCCTATCTNAATCCTCACCCCTCCCGCTGATAAAATGTAATATAACTGATTGATTCTATGTGAGCATTTAATTACCTCCAAGTTAATGAAATAATAAACTAAAGTGGAATTATTTGCCAGGTATAATATGTGTGGAAGGAATTAATGGAGGTCATGTACACATCGATTACAACTGTGTGCCGTCAGTCATTTATACTCATCCGGAAGTGGGCTGGGTGGGCAAGTCGGAAGAAGATTTGAAAAAAGAAGGAGTTGCCTATAAAGTTGGTAAATTCCCGTTCTTGGCAAATTCCCGTGCGAAAACAAACAACGATAGTGAAGGATTTTGCAAAGTCCTTTCAGACAAAACGACAGATCGCATCCTTGGTACTCATATAATCGGCCCTTCGGCCGGAGAACTCATTAACGAGGCTGTTTTGGCACAAGAATATGGAGCATCAGCAGAAGATGTTGCCCGTGTATGCCACGCTCATCCCACATGTGCAGAAGCGTTGAGAGAAGCGAACATGATGGCTTATCTCGGAAAAACAATTAATTTCTAAGTTGTTATCTCATTAATTTGTTATTTTTAAAATCATATTTTGTACAGAATTTTAATGTTATTATTTTTAATTGTAAATTGCGTTTTATTTGTCTGCCTAGATTTAATTAAGTAAGTAGATTAAATATTCTCCTTTATAAAAAAGGCAGTAAAAATTTTTGGAGGCAATAAATACACACATTCGACTCATTTTCGTTGTTTTCATTAATTAAAATAATAAAAACTCAATTATATTCTAATAAGAGAGATTGAGGGTAAAATCAGGCAGCAAAACAGTAAATTGTTGGAATTAATCTATTACATTACTTATAAGCAAAAAGTATTGAAATTTCCTTTCATTTTTCATTTTAATCGTTGCATAATTTGGAAAATAAATAAAACGATCATAATAGAAGAAATAAAGTTTTGTTAAAATAGTAAGAAAAATTCATTTTAATTAGTTAAGTCCTTCTACCCTTATTAATGATACGCCTATGCTTATTTCTATCCTACCATAGAAAAACAATTTTGCTGTTTTATTTAACCTGTAATCTTGTGTAGTTGTTGTTTGCTGAAATGTGTTCAAAAAGCATTATAATTTCTCGCAGATTCAGTTCCAGGAAAGCTAATTTCTTTGTAACAACGCCTATTTACTACGTTAATGCAAGTAAGTGATATTCTTTTAATAAATGTCTGATAAAAATGGGACCCGTGTGTCTATTTGTTCTCTATGATTTCTCGTTCGTTCGGTAATGCAGATCGTTTATCTACGAATGGTGTTTCAGCGCCGCACATCGGCCACTTGTACAGTTCTGTAATTGCGGATGCTATTGGTAGATGGCAGCACCTTAAAAATCCGCAAATTTTAAAAAAATTATCAACTGGTACCGACGAACACGGAGGGAAAATTCAACAAGCTGCTTTTAAAAATTCAGCAGCTGTTGACAAATATTGTAATGCAATATCAGACAAGTATAAAATAATGTCAGATAACTTTAGTATTAATTATTCCGATTTTGTAAGAACTACTTCAGAAAACCACGAAAAAACGGTAAAACAATTTTGGGTAAGAACGATTTTAAGGCAAGCACGATCTCTTGTTAAAATATGTTTTAATGTTGGCTTATAAAATATGAATTAATACTAAAATGTTTGCTGAAATTTTAGAAAAAATTGTATGATAATGGATATATTTACTCGGATAAGTACTCAGGGTGGTACTGCGTATCTGACGAAACTTTTTTAACTGATTCTCAGTTAAAACAAGTTTCATTAGCTGATGGTAACAAAAGTTTGGTGTCTTTGGAAAGTGGACACCCTGTAGAGTGGACGGAAGAAGAAAATTTTATGTTTCGATTATCGAATTTTCAGAACGATCTTATTTATTGGTTAAAAACAAATGGTATGCTATATAAAAAAAACATTTAATTTGACGAAACTTCCTTAATTAACAATTTTATAATATGTTTAAATCTAATAAATTTTGAAAAAACGAAATTTTATGATTTTTGTACAATAACTAATAATTTTAATTGGCTCTAAAGTTTGTTTTTATTATCAAAAGTTAGAGGAAAACCTTGGAAAGTTTACAGATGCTCCTTTATGTTTGAAAAGTTGCTATGAATATTTTTTTTATATAAAATTCGATGTTAGAGGGACTGAGAATAATATTCGAAAGGCCCTTGGAGTAAAATAAAAAAAATTTTGTTTTATTACTAATTTTTTGTTACGTTTTACGCAAGTTTACCAAACAACAAATAAAATCGATAAAAACTAAGTGCAAATTGGCCTTTGATAAATAAATAATATTGATTGTTTTATAATTATTTTACATCACAATAAGGAAAGATCCTAAAATCCTTTTTTAAAGTAAAAAAAAAAATTGGAATTGTTACGTGGTTTTTAGAGGATGTTATAAAACCTAGTAAATTCCACAAAATATTGACGGAAATGTTGAACAGAGACGAATTACCGGATATCTCAGTATCAAGGCCTGCTACGCGTGTTCATTGGGGCATAAAAGTACCTAATGATAAGACGCAGACGATATACGTTTGGTTGGATGCCCT